AAAATGATCGTTTCATTGCTTATCATTGACAAATCAGAGCACCGTAAGAGTGAGATGGTGGATTCTTATTTCGAGGAGGGGTGGATGCTTAACGCCTCCCTTTATTATTTATTGACTTTGCAACAGTGTATATTGTAATAATATATTTTGTTTCTTAACTTTTGCTACATTATTTAATTCTTTCATGTAATTTAACTAATAGTTCCCTATGCATGACACCAATGTAGCTTATCTAATATAGTATCCTGTACATGACGCCACCATAATTCGATAAAACTGATCGCATCTGCCTACTTATAGGAAATGTGTCCACCCAGGACAAAAGTTGGTAGAAGGAGGACAGTATAGCTATTTTTGGCACTGTACAGCCGACGTCAGGAACACGTAAAAGAGCACAAATTTCTGGAAGTATCAAAAGTGAAGATAGGATGCGCAAGTAAACGAAAGACAAGTGAGTTAAAAGATGGGGAAGCAGACGGGTTTTTGCATTCCGAGTAGACAATACGTGTGCGCGCGGGACCATCCAAACACCCTCTTTTAAAATACTCCATCTCTTCTCTTGTGTCCTTCAGGACTTGATTGTACATAAATGGTGCATTTGTATCGAACAGAAGACGGGGTTTTACATCCACAGCAGACCAGACGTATGGGTGTCCACTTGTTGCCGGTCAATCGTTGCGACACGCACCTTCTACCAATAAAAGAGCTTTTGACGTGATACTACCACTTGTTTGATGCATGAGCCGTTTATGGGCTATGGTCTGTCCTGAACACTCATCGCAGGCTACGAAGAAAAAGCAAGAGCACGAATATGCAGGACATTTGTCTGCTTTCATGCAGACTTGTGGATCACAACTCTAGCGTTGTTGGTTTCACTTGTACAAACTGACGGCACCACGGCACGTATCTGTCAAATTATCGTGTTGATCGAAGGCGCTCGCCGACTTTTATCGTGAGTGTCTACACAAAGTAATCGCTTTACAAGCCGTCCCTTCGTGTCCCTGTTTCCTGTCAGCGACATGACGGGACACATACTTCCGTCGCTAGGTACATGCGACATCCTTCCCACCAACTTGGAGTCGTCATGGAAGTAGCAATGCATACAAAAGTTGCTGTTGCGTACGATTGAGTTATATCTGGGTACCAGAGAACCAGCGATGAACTACGAACGACTGAGCAAAAACGTACGAATATCCAGCACACGAGCCTGCTCTGCCCCTCTTACTTGTGTCGTGGCTATCCAAGGGTTGCTTTGGACCTTTGACAGAAGTACAACCATACCATCCTCAAGATCTTTGAAAGAAGTACCACCGAATTATTCACAAGACCTCTGAAAGAAGTACCATCGAACTATCCACAAGACCTTTGACAGAAGTACCGCCGAACTATCCACAAGACCTTGAAAGACTGACCAACAAATTGGCGTCTTGCATCGAGCACGGAGTATCCTCATTCTCACTTTTACCCAGTACGTTGGCCTCGATGATCTTGCTTGTTGGCTACTATTTATAATTGATTTTGTCCTTAGACGATGTACAATCAGCAAACACTGCTACCGACCTGTATCGCCATAGTCAATTTAATGCTGCCACACTTTCTAATGCAAGGAAATACACCATGGTTGAGATGCAGCTGGGACATCCACTTGCGGCAATAATGGGCAAAAATTTTGTTGCAGGTGTACTGGCATCCTATTGTCAATATCTCAAAAGAATCAATTTAGGACCTTGTTTAAACCTGATGAAAAATTAATGGGCCACTCTTTTCGTCATAAAATCATATTATTACGAAGCCCCGTTGACTATAGAAGATGATGACCAGCATTGGTGGCTGGTCCGACCTTTACTACCATAGCCTTTTACCAAACTAGTCAGATACATTTCTGTTAGTTACGATGCTACAGCGTAAGTAATTCGTGAGAGGTATAATCATGCTGATTAAATGAGCCAACGATGCTATGCGATCATGCATCGCTGCTCCCGATGCTGCCATCCGTGGCCATGTACAGATAAGGACGCGTGGGATAACAACAGGCTCTATCCGCCACTATCTATCTCAATTTGAGCATATAAAAATGGATTGAATCCTACGTGCGTCGACGATGGGGGCGCTGTTTACAACAAGTGCATAACCCAAGTACAATTTGTCAACTATCACGGATGCAATTCAGCGCCAGCAGCACCCCAGCAGTGCGACGAATCGACGATGTAGCACCGTTTGATCCTCTACTTGCTTTTTCAATGTGTTTAAACATAAAACTATTGTTGTTGATGGTTATTGATAGTAAACATCTACAAATTTCTCTAATTTATATCTCTACATTAGTTATTCTCTCATCAACCACACAACAATTTTGTGCTAATGGCTCTCCTACCATCCTATAATGTGTCGACGACAAAATTCTAGAAACACCGGAATGTTGTAGCACTCTAGCGCAACTGGAGGTGGGCAGCATAACAGATGTAGTTCTATCGAACATTTAAGGGCCTTCAAATTCAATTCCTAGTTTGCTGATTGAGTTGAAGGCTCAATATCGAAAACTGAAGGTTCAATTTAAGCTCCCTAAATTATTTGTAAATTGAAAATGTGCGACAAGATAACGAATATGTAAATACATATATACTTACTTATACTTCATGCAAAAATGATTACACAAAGATTAAGAACTTACCAAATTGCATTTAAACACATAGCATGTTGAAATTCAGTACCAACTCTGGCCCAAGCCATTTTTATCCTTTGTCTATAGTCTAATATAGAACAAGGACACTAAAGCCGGACATCGACTTTGCAATGAAATTGTGGCCTCGCAGTAGCTTTCGTCCGAAGGCCCAACTACTCAAGCACAAGACTTCGGGACGTATTGTGTCCTAGATTCATAGTGACAACCGAAGCATGAATTGTAACGGGGCATCCTTTCTTTGGGTGCCTCGAAACTTCACGTACACGAGTAAATGCAGAGTAAAGCTAATCTACTCAATAACTATGTTGATTAAAGGGTAAAAAGAGAACTGTACTTAATATAGTTAAGCTATTAATCTAATTTCAATCTTTATCTAACCATATTAACTACGTCGTCGCATGACGACAACCTGCTCACCACTCATTGCGCGCGTCTAGCCGCGATTGGTGGTAATCTATGGTTGGTATGTCTCATGTCAACCAATCTTGGAGCGGCGCACGAATAATATCCTAAAAGTGAATATTCTTCCTTCAACATTATTTATCTCGGATAATATAGGTAGAATATTTTCATGCTAGACAATTTCCCTATTGACACCGTTTGGTGTCAATATCATGTAACGGGCTACCCCGTTACATTGAACCCCCTTAATCATCAATCACCCGTTTATTATATAGAATTGATTGGGACAGGGTGACCACCGTTGGATCACTCTGGGGTAGGGAGCACTTGATGGTCAAATTTCATTCATTTTCCAATCCAACGCATGCTTTTAAAATTTAGCGAGTTGCTACTGCAGCAGCAAAAAAAGGCGGCTGCACGCATGCGTGCAAACGAAAAGAGTACTTCTCACGCCTTAGCAGCAAATGATTCATCGCCTGTTATTATGAAAAGTCCACGTGGTGAGTCACCACGTGCGACAGGTACATCCGCTGCGTCTGCAGCGGGTACTGCGAACCTTTTACTAGTTAAGTCTGAAATAGAGCTTACCTATTCTGCCGAGTCGGATGATGTATCCGACTCGAAGGCGACACCTCACGCCTCCAAATCATCCGGGGCGGACACTGCAATGGCCATATTTACTGACTCTGGTGAGCGTAGCGGCATCATGCTCGAGATCTTTCAACTGAGCGATTGTTCCGACGAATACTCGCCTTACCCAAGTCCATCCGACGATAGGACGCGTAACATGGTGGTGATGCCTTTAAACATCACCACGAGCGAAGTAACGTGAGGGATCGAGCTGCCACTGATGTCAGTGCTCACGCTGGCACCAATCAAGAGGCCAGGGACCGAAATGTCCTGCGCCACGCTCCTCAAGTAAAGTCTCTTTGGATGCCGTCATCCAGAGAGTTCGACCGGTTGGCCGGCACGACTACCGAACGGGATCGAATCCCGTTGTTCGATTGCAGGAAGATTTGCCCACATAATTTCAACACGGAAACTATCCATGCTGAGGAAGAATTCTTCACCGTTGCGTTCTTCGAACATCGGTGGTACAATGATAGCCGTGTTCGGGACGGAAAAGCCTTGGTGCAGGGATGGAACGCCCTCACCCACAACATCGATTGTTTTGGCCGTGAGGCTTGGCTCGCAAAACTTAATGCAGCTCGCATCAGGTTTGAAAAACGCAATCCAGTCGGGGCGCGATACCAGTTGCACCGGCTTCCAAGAGAGGCAGGATTACCCTGTCTCTCGTGGGGTGATTCGTGTCCAAGTTGTCTAAACATCTCTAATTGTGCCCCTAGGGAGGCCTACCTCCCTGATGATCCCTACTGGAGGGCACGCATCTCTTCTGAGATGGACGAAGTAATAGAGAATTTGCAATCCCTGTACTTAAAGTATTTGATCAAAGCTGGTAAAATGCAAAGTGAATTTATTAGATCCTTAGTTCGCAAAGTCTGTTGCTACTTTAAGCCTACTTGATTCTTCGACTATACTTTCCTAATCGCTATATCGCACACTACTAATCGTCTAGTCGCGCATTGGTAATCGCCACATCGCACATTACTAATCGTCTAGTCGCGCATTAGTAATCACCACATCGCGCACTACTAATCGTCTAGTCGTACGTTTCTGATTCTGGTCATGCGTTTCTAAACACCCAAACGTACCGAAAGTGGGGAACGTCACTCTCTGGCAGGACAGTGCTGGTGAGCCCCAAACACCAGATTTCGAAGGCTTAACTTTTTCGTTTGCACGCCCCACCGGTATCGAACCAGTAATCTTTAGGATGGTACTGCCATATTAAACCGGCTGAGCTACAGAACACTTTCCTGAAACGTCATGCCGAGGCGTAACATTTACGACAGTACCTTTACTCGTCTCGACAGACCGTGGCGTTTTGATCAACTTCCATACCGAGAAAATACTTGAGTTTTTTCATATCCGTCATGTCAAAACGATCACCCAGCGCCTTATTTGTTGACTTGAGCAGCTCGTCGTTGTTGCTCGCGAGAACCAAATCGTCGACGCATAGTGCCACGAAAAGCATGTCTTGATTGGCTCGCTTGACGTAAATGCAGTGATCCGTTTCACATTTCTTAAAACTCAGTTCCAGCATAAACTTGTTGATGGTTTGGTTCCATATCCGTATGACTGCTTTAGACCGTAAAGGGGGAGCTTGAGCTGACAAACAAAGTCCGGGTGATCTTTATCGACTTGACCTTCTGGCTGCACCATGTAAATTTCTTCGTCCAGGAGTCCATTGCGAAACGCCGTCTTAACATCCATATGGTGTACCGACAAGCTAGACTTGGCTGCCAGGCTGAACAAAATCCTGATTGACGTGAACTTGGCCACGGGCGCAAAGGTCTCATCGTAGTTTATACCACGCTTTTAAAAAAACCTTTGGCCCCCAAGCGCGCTTTGAATCGCTCGACTACCCAGCCTGATTCTCCTTGTCTCGAAAGACCCATCGATTAACGATTGCTTTACGGCCTTTTGGTAGTAGTACGAGATTCCGGGTCTTGGTTTTGCGAAGAGATTCCATTTCTGAGTCACACGCTTCTTTCCACTTGACTTCGTCACTGAATTCCATCGCCGATTTGAACGTCGTTGGCAATTCTCCCATTGAATCCATGACGTAGACAGCCTCAAAGTCACGACGTTCTTGAGCCACAGCAGATGTCTCGACCAAACCTTGATCCCGACATAGTCGTTTTTCCTTTGAAATATCGACTGCTTCTTCCAGTGATCGTGCGCGTTAATGTCGCTTGCTGCCAGGTTCGACGTCTTTACCTTGCACGTTTTCTTCTCCTTCTCTGTTGGAACACGATGAGTCTTCATCCGTTAAACCAACTTCATCTTCTATAACTACTTCGGCTTAAACGTAGTCGCGTTTTCCACTATCAAAGACGTCTTCCATAAACTGTGCGTCGCGGCTGACCAGCACACGACCACTCTTGATCTCTTCGAATCGACATGCTTTCTCGTGATCTGCATATCCCATGAACCGACAGTGTATTAATCGAGCGTCGAGCTTGGACCGTTTTTCCTTCGGAACATGCACATACGCATGACACACGAACACCTTCAAATTCTCAAGCAAAGGTTTCTTCTCGGTCCAAGCTTGATATGGTGACCTGTCATGAAATTTAGCACGGGTTGGGCAGCGATTGCGCAAGAAGTTGGCAGTTATGACTGCTTCTCCCCAAAACGATTTCGCTAGCCCAGCATTTTCCATCATGCAGCGGGCGCTTTCCACCAATGTCCATTTCATCCTTTCGGCAACACCGTTCAGTTAAGGAGTGTACAGCGGCGTTAATTTCTGCACAATGCCACGGTCCACACACAGCTTGATCATCGCATAGGAGGTGTATTCGTCACCATTGTCACAACGAAGAAGCTTCACGCGCTTGCCAGTCTGGGTTTCCGCCCACGCGACAAATTCTGCAAATTTGGTCGCCACTTCAGACTTGTTCTTGAGTTGAAATGCCATACAGTAGTGTGAGTGTTCGTCGACAAATGTAACAAAATAACGTTTGCCACTGTAGGTACAGGTTTGCATGTGTCCACACACATCACTTTGAATGACCTCCAGCAACTTCTTTGCTTCTTCAGGAGACTTCGACACATAGCTCACTCGTGTTTTCTTGCCGAGTGCATACCCGCTGCAAGTCTCCCATTTGTTTACCGAGGCCAAGCAATGCCGGTTCCATAACCTTTCTTGACGATGGCGTCAAGTCCTCCGTGGCCGATGTGACCAAGCCGAAGATGCCAGAGATACGACCCGGTACCCCTTTTACAATCATTCAACTTGACACGTTTGCCTCGTTAGACGCTTCTGGCGTCATGCAGAGTTTGAAAATCCCTTTGCCTTCGCGAGCACCGAGCTTCGACTTGACACCTTTCGTCTCCGCGAAGCATCCGTTAGTTTCGAAGGTGCCTGGCCGACGTCCTTGGTGAATCTACCCACGGAGAACAGATTACGCGATAACATCGGGATTTGCCACACGCCCTGAGCACACCTTTCTTGGTACCGCGTGGCGTCTTCATTGAAATCATGATGTCGCCTTTTCCGATCTCTTCAACGACACCATCGTCTGCCAAGTGCACATCGACCGGATTGAAGACCTTGTAGTTCTTCACGAACTTCTTGGAGCTCGTCATGTGCTGCGTCGCACCCGAGTCGACCAGTTACACGTTACTCGACTTGGCGACTCAACACAAACCGAAAACAAATAGTCGCCAAGATCTTCATCTTGCACCACGTTCGCACGCTGGAATTGATGTCGTTCCGCGTCTTCTTGGATCCGCGAGGGGAACTCCGCGATCCAATGTCCTTGTTTCCCACACTTGTGGCACGCACCAGTCTTCTTTCCTGGTCGTTAGTTTCACTTGTTGTCTCTTGACATGAACGCTTGGTCTTGCCCATGCACGGATCCATCGACTCCGCCACCTTGCTCCTTGCACTTCTGGTCTTCATGCATCAGCCGAGACTGGCCAAAATAGTGATGACCAGGTCGTCTTCGCTGACCGGAGCACCAATCGCGTCAAGTTGCTCCGCCAGGGTCTTGAGCTTGTTGATGTGCTCTAGCACGTCATCACCTTCTCCCATCATTGTCGTGAAGAAACGGCGACAAAGAAAGAGCTTATTAGCCAAGCTCTTCTTCTCGTAGTGTCCCTCCAGACGCGACCATGCATCATACGCATTCTCCGCCAAGCGCACCAGTGGCAACTGCGAGTCCTCCATTGTGAGGCAGATGATCGCCAGTGCCTTACGTGACTTCTTTTTGAACTTTACTTGGTCCAATGTAGACACGCAGCGCTCAAGCTTCACCTCCCCACTCACGACATTCCACAGGTCTCGCTCCCCCAGCACCATCTGCATCTCGAACTTCCACGTATGGAAGTTTGTTCCGGAAAACTTGTTGATGCGGGCGGTTGTGATCGGCATGGCGTCCATGGAGAAAGCGTGGTCGAGGTCTTGGGCAGAGTCTGCAGGGTTTGGGCTCATAACCTAAGTAGTTGATCAAAGCTGGTAAAATGCAAAGTGAATATATTAGATCCTTAGTTCGCAAAGTCTGTTGCTACTTTAAGCCTACTTGATTCTTCGACTATACTTTCCTAATCGCTATATCGCACACTACTAATCGTCTAGTCGCGCATTGGTAATCGCCACATCGCACATTACTAATCGTCTAGTCGCGCATTAGTAATCACCACATCGCGCACTACTAATCGTCTAGTCGTACGTTTCTGATTCTGGTCATGCGTTTCTAAACACCCAAACGTACCGAAAGTGGGGAACGTCACTCTCTGGCAGGACAGTGCTGGTGAGCCCCAAACACCAGATTTCGAAGGCTTAACTTTTTCGTTTGCACGCCCCACCGGTATCGAACCAGTAATCTTTAGGATGGTACTGCCATATTAAACCGGCTGAGCTACAGAACACTTTCCTGAAACGTCATGCCGAGGCGTATCATTTACGACAGTACTCACGTTTTAGGAGGTCGATTTCCGACGTCCCTTCTTTGAATGCAGCGGGTGGGTCTCTTCAAACCGCTCGACGACCCAGGATGCCAATAATCAGCTGGACACGAGGCTCCCAGCTGTCCCACACCGGTGGATAGTCACGCCAGTGGACCTGGTAACTCGGCCGGACGCCATTCAAATCGCGGTGTTTCAAAACACGCTCCACTAGAAAGCGTTAACCACCGTTTGATTCGAGGAAAGGATTTAATTGTGGCGGGAACACCTGATCCGGCTCGAGGGTCGGATCAGCTTGATGTTCAAGAGCTGAACCGTGTATTGAAACAGTTGCAAGATGACCTGGCCCATGAACGGACTCGGCGTTATGAGCTCCATGATCTTGTAAGAGAAAATTTTACAATTCCTTAACGCACGATCGTTCGGACGATCGTGCCGCTGTTTCGTTCACACAACTTGAGAGCGAACGTTCGACTCGTTCTCTTCGTGACGAGCTGGCTGCAGCTCGTCGAGACGTCGATTAACTGCGTGAGCAGGTCGCTTCGCTAGTCGACTCGAATGGCTCGTTGAAACGGGACCACTCGAAGGTGGTATCGTATCTCGGCCGCGGAGGTGTTCTTTGCATCTCGAAACGGGCTAGTACTAACAGTACGGGCGGAGACGTCCACCGTAAATCATAGTATGCGTATTCATCTTACGGGGCAGTTCAATCATGTCTGCGTGGCTCATTCGGCGCAACACACGAAATGGAATGATATACTAGGGAAGCAAATTACTGCTGCCCACGTTTGTCACTGCGTGTTTCGGTAGATTGACTGAAAACAGTAAAACCAGGTCTCCTTTATCAAATGAAAGAACTTTTGTTCTTCCATGTTTGTCTGTGTCTCTTTTCCGTCTGTCTGTTGCGTCCGCAAAAGAATCTAGGACGAAGCGGTCAACTGCTTTGCGAGTCAGCAGAAATTCCTCTGCTGGCTTATACTTGTCAACAGCAGTGCGCTTCGTGTTCACTGCTGAAAGAACGTTGTCTCCACCAGTAAGGTCGTCATCGTTCTCACCGTGGCAGTCATTGGTGATGGTGAGTATACCAGCATCGTCGTCATCATCATTATCATCGTCGATGTCGATCGCATCGACATCGGCATCCATCAAGTCGATACCGTTGTCGACGGGTGATGAGCAAGAAACGGATCGATTTTTGCTCGAGCGATTTTACCCCCTTCATAAACTAGAGTCACACTCTAAGAAGGAGGGTAAACGTGGATGGCGTAGGCCATTCACGAAGAACAGTGTATGCATTGTCGACCCATGCACCGAGTTGTTGATGGCAAATTCCGCCGTCGGCAAGAACTCACTCCAACTCGTAAACGAGTGGACATAATTCCGAAGTATCTCTTCGAGGACGCGGTTGACGCGTTTTGTCTGACCATCTGTTTATGGATGGTCAGAAGTTGACATCGTTTAACGTGTTCTAAGTAAACGGAACACGGATTGCCAGAACTCCGCTGTAAAGCGGGGGTCCCTTTTAGACACGAGTTCACGGGGTAACCCGTGCCGTCGAAAGATAGTATCGATGAAGACACGCGCACAGCCCTGGGCTGTAAGTGAATCGGGTACTGCAACAAGATGCGCAATGTTGATGAACTGATCAACAAACACAAGAATACCAGTATTCTTGTGAACGTCGTTAAGAAACTCAAAGAAGAAGTCCATCGGTACGGACTGCAAACACTCTGCCGGAAGCGGTAGAGGCTGCAAGGGTGCGCGGGATAAAGGACTAGGCTTCACCAAATTGACGAATTTCACAAGCGCGAATGTATTTCCGCACAAACTCATACTGGCGGGGCCAGTAGACGTCACGACTTATCGTGATGTTGGTCTTTTCTATACCGCGATGCCCACTTGTTGGGCCATCGTGACACTAATGCATACTGCGCAATCGCAAATTATTATGAGCGGGAATGAAGACACGAGGTGTGTCGCTGTTGACTGCTGTGTAGTAAAGCATGCCATTACGAACCGAACACCATTCGGTTAAGGAGTGGTATTGAGACGACAAGCTTTTCAAAGCTTGACGGCCTGCATTTGACACGTTATCCATTAATCGCAGAAGAGACTCGTCTTCTGCGTATGCTTTTCGCACGTCATCGAGCAGATTCGACGACGGAACACTAACTGTTAGTGTCGCTACAGTGGGATCACCCCTACTGTTAAGTTAAGCAGTCGGCTCGAAATCGGGCCGACGCGAAAGAGCATCAGCGACGACAGTAAGTCGTCCTAGTTTGTACTCGACGGAGAAGTTGTACTCCGCGAAGAAAGACAGACACCTCGCCATTCGTTGAGAGAGGTGTGGGCTGTTTACGGCCGTGCGTAACGACGCATGGTCAGTTTAAAGCTGAAGGGCCTTTCTCCTAAGACATGTACCCGAAACTTAACCAGTGCATATTAAATGGTAAGGAGTTCCTTGTCATGCACCGGATAATTTGTCTCAACTGCTTGCAGCTGACGCGAGCGATAACAGAAGACACGCTCAACACCGTCTAAGTCTTACTGCATTAACGCGCAGCCGATTGCAAAATCGCTGGCGTCACAGACCACACAAAATGGTTTATCCTGATCTGTAATCGCCAACACAGGCGATTGCACCAAGCTTTTCTTGATACCTTCGAAGGAGGAGTGACGCTCAGCACTCCGTGACCACCTCTCATTTTTCTTAAACAGAAGAGAGAGATGTACTTTTATCTCGGCATAGTCGCGCGAGTACTTGTGCAAGGACGCCGCTAAGCCAAGGAACTTTAGAAGTCCTTTGAAGTCGACTGGCACGGTCCAGTCGCTGATCGCCTTGATCTTTTCCGGATCAGGGCGTGCGCCATGTGTACCCACGATGCAGCCAAGAAGTGGTATATCGTTCGCTGCGAATATACACTTCTTGACGTTCGAGAACAACTTCTGCTCTCGCATTATTGTAAGTACCCTCCGGAAGTGCATTCTATGAACCTTCACGTCCGCCTTTCCGTCCATATCCCAGCTGTGGACGAAGACATCATCAAAGTAACTCGGTGCAAAATCGCGCACCGATCGCGATAGATTTGCAACACATCTGTTGAATGTTGCAGGGGCGTTACTTATCCCCTGTGGCATCACTAGCCACTCACAGAGCATACCACTGGAGGTGCTCATTCATGTGTACGGGATGTCTCGTTAGCGCGTGAGGATCTAATGAATCCATCCATCAGATCCATGGAAGAGAAGAATGCATTTTTTTCATGCCATCTATGATGACGTCCTTCCTTGGCATCAGCGTTTGAGCCAGTACCGTTGCAGCGTTTGCTTTGTTGAACGCGTGCACTATCCGCCACCCTCCTGTGGCCTTTCACACACATAAGGTCGGAGAGCTGTGTGGAGATGTTGATTCTCTCACATGACCAGACGCTAAACGATTGGCAAAGAATTTGTCGATCGCTGTAACCTGTTCTCACAAAGCGGTGGCCACTGCTTCATGACACAGTACTATAGACCTAGATTTAAGTTCGATTTCATGCCGAGTGCCCTTGTCTCGAGGCAGCTCGCGTGGCACGGAATCAGGGAGAACAACCCTAAATTTCACCAATTTTTTACACAAAGGATTTGCCTTTAAATCCCCATAAGAGTGAGACGTGTATCGCTCAATCCGTGTCTTTTCATTGAGGACACTCTCGTCCATCGATGAGCTACAAAGAACCCGTTCGTTCTTAGCAAACACTTGTGCCGAACGATTATCGGCGACGTACCCGTCCTCTGTGACGAGTACGCAGATCTGCTTGATCTTTCACTACGCAGATCTCGCAAGAATCTTTTGAATTCTATCCGGGGAACCTTAATAAACTTCAAGCTGACTTCGGCGGCGTAACCAGATCAAGTGCATAAGCGCCTACCCTTGATCCGTCATACACCAAGACATTCCCCGTCCCGGTATTTTCCTGGGAAAACACATTCGCAGGTGGTTAGGGATCCACACCCTCAACATAACTCTCTCGGAAGTTATCACTCTCAGGAACGCTGGAACGTTCTTCCATTACGTGTACTATTATACTCACGTCCTCTTCTATCGTCTTTTTTTCAGTCGATCGGGCTTACTTTACGATCGAATCTCTGATAGTCGATCTCACTTGAACATTTTGCTTATCCTGAAAAAAAACTGATCTTTTTTCTCGAATGCACCCTTCGTGGTGTGCATCCGTATTCCAGTCCACTCGATCTCTTCGAGTTGTGAACCTTCGACGCATCCTGTGTCTTTACACAGGTGCCGGAAGCTGGTTCAACAGTGTAGTAGCCTTTTACACTGTGATCTTGTGCTACTGTACTAGCGACCGTACCACAAGTGAGGCCACTCGTAGTACATCCACACGCTTATGGACGCTCCAAAATGCTTGTGGACGCTCCAAGACGCTCATCAGATGGCCATCTGATGAACAAACGGCAGGCGTCTTCACGGATCGA